ACTGCTGACACGCGTAGGGGCCGCGGATCACGAGTCACCTGGAGCTGCGTGTGGTGGGCCAGGCCCACACCGGGCGCCTGCTCCAACCAGCCTTGCTCCAGGGCTGCTCCCCTCTCGGGCAAAGGTGTCGGTGCTGGAGGGGGCAGACTGCACATTAAAAGGGAATGTAACCAGTTTGGACCAACCCCTCAGGGCTTCTGCTCCAGCAAAGTGGGACCTGCTCTGCCCTCAACAGGGTGATGGCAGACACTGAGCATAGCAGAAGCCCCAGCTCACACTTGGCTCTGGCTCTAGCCTCCCCCCTCCCATCTCTAGCCCCATCTCCCACCAAGGTGACAGCTGCCAGCACAAGCTGGGGAAAGACGTGACTCATGCTCACTTCGGAGCCAGCTCTCCCACAAAAGCCACTAGGCACACACAGACGGCATAGGGTTGCTTCCACACAAGCACATCCTTTCAAGACGAGGGTAGATAAGAGTTTCACGTGATCTCGTGGAGAGAGGGAGTGTTATGCAAAATGAGAGGGCAGAGGAGATTGTTTCAAATGAAAGAAGAAAAGGAAACACCTGAAAAAACAACTAATGAAGCAGAGATAAACATTCCACCAAAGTAATTGAGCAGATAGCAAAGCATTAGGAATAAGAATGCTAACTGAACCATAGGAAACAGGAGATGAACACAGAGATAATTTTCATAAGCAACTAGCAAATATTCTAAGATAAGCCATCAGAACAGGAGAATACAATAACTAAGGGGTTCATTGCACACTAAGTGACACACGAGAACGCACTGGTGATCTGGAAGACAGGATGATGGAAATCATCCAGTAAGAATGAAAAAGAGAAACAAATTTTTAAAAAGAGCACAGTTTAATGGACCTCTGGGACAATGTCAAGCACACTAACAATCACACTGTATGCATCCCGGAAGGAGAACAGAGAGAGGAAGGGGCAGAAAACGTACTTGATGACATTTTGGCTAAAAATCTTCTGAACCTGAAGATGGAAAAGATATGCAGGTGCAGGAAGCAGACAGAGTCCCAGACAAGGTAAAACCAAACACACACCAAAGTTAGAATGGCAAAAGTTCAAGACAAAAGAGAAAAGTAAAGGCAGCAAGAGGACATGAGTCACATACAAGGAAAACGGCATCAGGCCATCAGCTGATGTCTCTGCAGAAACCGTGCAGGCAGAAGGGCACGGCTGGAAGGGAAAAGCTACAACCCGGACGCTCTGCCCACCAAGAGCATCATGCAGAGCTGACGGAGAGCCTGCCAGCAAAGGCAGATACATAGCAAAGAGTGTGGAGCAACCACATAAATAAACTAGCGGAAAGATTAAAATATAAAACCTGTAAAATGAACTATAGCCGCACAACAGTAAAGGCATAAACGTAACGGTGTAAAATCAGACATCAAAAACACAAAATACGAGAGAGGAAAGTAAAAACATGTAGATCCTTAGGAAAGTGAACTTAAATTATTACCATTTTAAAGCAAGTAACGCAATTATAGGTTAACACCTATAAACCGCATAACAACCACAAATCTAAAACCTGCAATAAACAGAAGCATAGAGAGGAAGGACCACAAGCGTAAAATGAAAGAAAACAAAACAACAAACCACAAGGGAAGAAATACGGAAGAATAAAAGAACAGAGAACTAGGAAAAAGAGCGCACGAAGCAAGTGACAAAACGGAAATCGGTACAGCCCTCGCAATCACCGCTTTAAACATCAGTGGCATAAATGACGCAGTCACAAGTACAGAGCAACTTGCTGCGTCAAAGACAAGGAGGCCCATCGATGTGCTGTTTAGAAGAGACTCATTTCAGAGCTAGAGACACACAGAGACTGTCAGCGAAAGGATGGAAAGATATTTCACGCGGAGGGAAACGGCAAGAAGGTGCGGGGAGCGATACTCACACCAGACCACGAGGTGCCCCTGGGAAAGCTGCGAAGTCACAGCTCCAGCCACCTTCCTTTTCCCAGACATTTAGCTGTTTTCCATCAAGTGCAAATGCAATGCCAGCTTTCTGCCAACGCT